TTAATGCTATAAAGTGTCCAGTGAATAATAATAATAGATATTAAATATTAACATGTGAAATTTACAGTATTGAATATAAACATGTGAAATTTACAATATTGCAGTATATACAGTATTACAGTGCAGGTGATTGAAATAGTCCAGTTCAATGCTCACTGTTGAGCAGACGGATGGCCTATGGGAAGAAGCTTTACCTCATCCTCGTCGTTGTGAATCGAATCGTTGCTGAATCGTAATCGAATCAAATTGTGAGGCTGGTGAAGATGCACACCTCTAGTCATTTGTAGTGTGTATACCCTTCAACAACATAGTTTCTTAACACAATCAAGCGACAAGAAAGAAAGAAGCAGAGTAAAGCAGTTAGACACAGTGATGGATCATTTATATTCCTTTAGGCTATACTGTAGTTTTAGAGAAAGACCACCATTACACAGGAGAAAAAGAGATCTGCCTTGCCTGTTGCAGGCCGCGCACAGATCCCAAAGTTAGCTCACGAGTGCTGCTGGCTAGCTTTTATGACTGCGGTCAAGTCAGCCTTCACTCTCAAACACAGCCAAACTGGCACCCACTGATTTCTCTAAACCTTAGGTTACATGCGTGCTAAGCATTACGTTACAGCTCGTAACATAACTTATGCTGCTCTGGAGAAGGCAGTCATGTTACAGTCATGTATGTTACTGCCACTGGAAGCATGAATTTCCTTCGAGATTTATAAAGTATCTATCTATCTATCTATCCATGTTTACAAAGAGTTAAGGCCTCCACTCTTACCCAGTCCTTTGCTTCAGGGACAATAATTCAGAGGTCCTGTGGTGTTTGTCTTTGTATGTGTATATATACACTGAGCAAACTTGAGCCTATGTTTTGGCAGCAAGAATGTTGTGTTCACTCTGCTTACTCATTCCTTCTCTCTTTCTCTGCCTGTCTGCAGCTCCCTCTAGTTTCCTGCTCTTCAGTCAAAAGGCCAGTATCAGCAGGATGGTTTTAGGAGAGCAGAGTCCTGACATCATCCTGCCCATCCATGTCTTGAGGAACGTCCGAGCCGTCAGCTATGACCCACTGGACCGCCTTGTCTACTGGTTGGACGGACGACAGAACATAAGAAGGGCCAGAGACGACGGAGCGATGGTAAAATTTGCCCTGATACACACACTGACAGTATAAGAAACCTGTATGGAGGCTAACAAGTAGCTGTGGATGAAAATATGTTTTAACTTCAGCATGTTTCTCCTTGATTGAAATTTCTTTCTCCATTACACCCCTGAGACCCTGAAGCTTTGTCCTGGCTGTGTCCTTCTGATTTGAACAAGAGAAAGTAATATGTGGAGACATATGAGGAGTGTGTACAGTGGAACAAGCCTGTGAACATCCAAAGATGTTTTTGATT